GGCTGTGTCTAGAGTTCTTTTTGTTCTTATGATGAACTGAACAAGAGATACCTTGTGGGTCTGAGACCACTCAGACAGTGTCCAGCCCAGGGCCAGCGGGGTGGGGGGAATTGGGGAGGAAGCTCCAACTTGTCCCAGCAGTGATTGTCCTTAGCTTGGCGGAGGCAGGAGGCAGGAGGCAGGCTTGGTGGTGGTTGCAGCTAGTAGCCCAGAGAGGCCCTCTACAGGAGAATTAAGCTGCGACTCTGTAGTTGAACCCCTTCTCCATGGCCCACGGCGGGGAGGGGGGGGGGATCTTGATGAAAGAGACAGTCCATGGTTCTAAACAGTATATTGGTGGAAAATGGATCCATAGTGTACCATACCCACTTCTCAGGGTAGACCTGAGATTAAATACGTTTTGCAGGGAGGAACATCTGGGAAGGGAAGCTTACTGGCTAAGCCCTCCAGGCCTCTAGGTACCTCATTAGCATGGAGAACTCTGTTCTGGGCCTACATGATCATAAGACACGTTTCTTTTATGTGAGAAGCATGGCACGTGTTCCAGGCCAGGGGTCTGGCAGGAATCGGGAAGTCACCCTAAGTCACTGAGTCTCTGGGTCTCAACCTGTTCTACCTGACCAAACTTCCAGGCAATGTTTTACTGTCCAACAACACCTCATGGAAGCTTCTAAACATCCTATAGGGCAGGGGTTCACAACATGTAGGTCACAACCTCTTTGGGGTCACATATCAGATATCCTACATAGCAGATACTTACCTTACGATTGAAAACAGTAGCAAAATTACAGTTATGAAGTAGCAACGAAATAATTCTATGGTTGGGGGTTCACCACCACATAAAGAACTGTGTTAAACAACATGAGAAACTGTGTTAAACAACATAAGGAACTGTGTTAAAGGGTCACAGCATTAGGGAGGTTGAGAACTGTGCTCTAGGACAGAGTCCTCAGCAAAGAAGAGGCCAGCCCACCATGCCAGTAACAGGTAGAAGAGACATCTTGTCAGGTCCTTCCTCTCTGGCCAGCCCAGGTTTTGTTGTGCAAATAGGCTCTTCCCAGAGCAGCTCACAGCTCAGCCAGTAGCCCAACAACCAGGACTCAGACCTGCAGTCACACTGACTGGAGTCCTGGACCTGCCGAAGGCAGCCACTGGGCTCAGAGCTCATCTGTCAATTGGGGCGATGTCTGGATGCTGCCGTGGTGAGGCGTTCATCCATTCCCCATAGCGCCAGGCACGTGGAGGGGGTAGGGGGTGTGAACTCTGTACATTTCAGAAATGTTTACATCAGGACTGGACATTCGCGGTCACCCCACCCCCACCCCCGGCCTGCCAGAAATGGTCTTCAGGTCTTTAGCTTCCCCCCCCCCCCCCGCTCCAGCTGTCCAGGGAAGCTCCGCCCCTCCCTGGTCCCCACAGTTCTTCATCCTCTCATCTTTTTGCAGTGTGCTGCTCCAACAAGTCAACAAAGGGTCTCTCTCTTACTATTCTAGAGGCCAACAAGGTAGAGCAGCCTCCCGGACCAAGCCAGGGAGCCACTGGGCTGTTTCCTGCTGCAGGTTCTGAGGGAACCCACCCCCTCCCCTTGCCAGTTAAGCTCTTGGAACTTCATTCCTTCACTCACCATCCCTTCTTCTGTCTTCATTCCCTTTTTTTGTTATGGAGGCTGATACTAGAGCCTTATCCAAACATTGCCACTAAGCTGCATCCCCAGGTCTCCTTTTACTTCTTCTTTTTTTTTTTTTTTTTTTTCCAAGAAAGGCTTTCTGGCTATCCTGGAACTCTTCTCTATAGACCAGGCTGGTCTCAAACCCAAGATGTGCCTGCCCCTGCCTCCAGACTGCTGGGATTAAAAGTATATGCCACCACCTCCTGGCTTATTTTTGCTTTTGAAACAAGATTTCACAAAGTTGGCCTTGAAGTGACTCCATGCATAGGCAGGCCTAGAACTTTTTACCCTCCTGTCTCAGCCTCCCAAGATCCCGGATTACAGGCCTGTGCCACCAGGCCTAGTCCTTTCTCTGTCTCAAAGCCAGCAATATAACATCCTCTGTCTCTCTAAAGCTTCAACTGTGGCAGTTCGTGTGTGGCTAAGAGCACGGCCTGTTCTCCCAGATCAGTCCCCAGCGCCTACATGGTTGCTCACAGCCATCTGCTCTAGTAAGAGGAGATCTGACAACTACTTCTGGCCTCCATGGGTACCAGGCACATACATGGAACACAGACATACACAGAAGTAAAACACCCATACACATGAAATAAATTAATCAAAATCTCTCAACCAGGCAGCGGTGGCACCCGCCAGTAATACCAGCACTCCCAAGAGGCAGATACAGGCAGATCCCTAAGTTCGAGGCTAGCCTGGTCTACAGAGAGAGTTCCAGGGCAGCCAGGGCTACACAGAGAAACCCTGTGTTGAAATCCACCCCCCATCACTTCTATTACCTTCTCATCTGTGTCTGTCTGTCTGTCTGTCACAAGGTTCCCTCTGTCTCTCTCTTATGATAACGTGTGATTGTGTAGCATCTGCACAGATAACCCAGAGTAACCTCCACCTCAGAGTCTTTAACCTAAGCACACTGGCAAAGCCCCTTCTCTGTGTAGCCTCAGGTCCCAGGATCTACAACCCATGTATCAGTGACGTCATCACTTAGCCAGCTTCATCCTCTGTTCTGGAATGCCCTCCCTCCCACTCTGCCCACACCTAGTGACTCCTCGGCCTCTGCTGAGACCCTCGCATTCCCCTGTCCTGCCCTGTTGCCTGGTTGCCCATGGTCCCTGTGTGTTTCTTGTTGGTCAGGTTGACCTGTCACTCAGACTACACTGTAAGACCTGGGAAGGGTGTGGCTTCATAAAATTCCTGGCTCATAATTTGCATACAGGAAGTGGTGCTTTATGGATACATTTTAAGTGTCTACCAAAACAAAGCCATGCACACTTTGGAGCTGTGTCTGGCCCAAATGTCTAACAACCATTTGAAAAATATATTAGATGACAGCTTGTCCTGTATGGATAGGATTAGTCGTTAGGCACAGCTGGGTGTGGTGAGGCACATCTGTACTGTTTGCATTTAGAAAGCTGAGGCTGAAGGACCACAAGTTCAAGGCCAGCCTGGGTTACACAGCGAGACCACTTCTCAGCAATTCTTTTGTTTTTGTTTTTGTTTTGTTTTGTTTTGTTTTTCGAGACAAGGTTTCTCTGTGTAGCCCTGGCTGTCCTGGAACTCACTCTGTAGACCAAGCTGGTCTTGAACTCAGAAATCTGCCTGCCTCTGCCTCCCAAGTGCTGGGATTAAAGGCGTGCGCCACCACCGCCCAGCAAGACCACTTCTCTAAAAGAAAAGGAAAGAAGAATTAGAAAGGCAGAGAGGGAGGGAAGGAAAGGGAAGAGAGGGGTGGGAGGGAGGGGAGGGGAGGGAGGGAGGGAGAGAAAGAGGGAGAGAGAGAAGGAGGGAGGGAGAAAA